AATGTAAAATTTGTTTTCATCAACACTCTGATGACCTGGATGGACGCTCGGAGCTACTGCAGGGAACGCCATACAGAGCTGGCCATTCCCAGGACCCTGGCGGAGAACGAAGAGATCAGGGCGGTGATCCCAGCAGGTCTGTTCAGCTGGATGGGCCTTTATAGAGAAAACTATAAGTGGTCGGATGGAACCATGTATGTGTTTGAAAGCTGGGCACCAGGTGATCCTCACGGCGGGGTAGAAAAATGTACAGGTGCTTATTTCACAGCCAAGGGACACTGGGCCGACTGGACATGTGATCTAAGGAAACCCTTTATCTGCCACCATGGTAAGCTGTTATTTAAATAATTTGTTTTATATTTTACACTTTAACATTTAAATGTGGTTGATGTTGATGCATATTTAAAGATCTGTTTCTTAACAGATAAATGTTTAATAATAACAACTGCTAATCAATTCAAACTACAAGAACATTTGTAGGTCAGCAATCCCTCTGACTGGAGTCACATAAATGATTAATGTTAACTGTACGATATTTGATACTGTGAGTGTAAATTCCATCATAATATTAAGTTTAGTTGCATTGATGAAATTATAGAAACAAAATAAAGAAATCTGATTTTTGATGTTCTTTTATTTTGAGGATTAGGGGAAAAAATTTAACAAAGTTTCCATCCCTGCATCAGAGCGCTACCTGTTGGATCTATAAACGGTTTTCTATTATTGCAGCCAAACTAGCAGCAGTAGTTTGGAGATGCAATCTACTTCTTAAATCTATATTGGCGAGTTCCTTTAACTGTAATCATATCCAGCTCTGCCCCCGGTCAGTACCCCTAACTCAATTAAATGCAGTTTATACCTTATAGTACAAAACAACTTTTGTCAAGTTTAATCTTATGATTAGTTGAGAGAAAATCGACCCTCCGGGAGCATCTAGATTATGAGGCCGTTCAGCTCAGTGCCATCCCCAGATTGAAGGGCGTATAACGCTTCCTAATCTGGCTTCATTCTGTGGAAGCGGGACAGCAGGAAGCTAAAAGGAGAGATAGGGAAAACTGGAACACTGTAATATTCAGCAACCTGTCCTGATGCTGTGATGGCAGACAGATTTCAGGAGGTGACATCCATATTGGAATAATGTAGCTATGAAATATTCTGGATGTTTCTCTTAAAGACCTGCCGTTCACAAAGCAAGTGGTGAAAGTGAAGCTGGTGGGAAACTCTGCTGTGGATCTGAATGATCCTGCTGTCCTGGAGAAGCTGCAGGAAAAGGTAAATAATGGCAGGAAATGAGCTTCAGATTGAATAAACCCAGAAAGTTTGGACATGATAGCATCACGAAGGTTTGTGTTTCAGCTCCAGCAGAAGCTGCAGGAGACGAACTCGGCTGCAGAAGTCAAACTGAGCTGGAAGAAACATCTGGATGGAACGACCTTCTACAAGGAGAAAAAGGAGCTAAAATGACATGATGATGATGATGATGATGATATCAGTAGATCCTTAACAATGTAACAAACATTAGAGATGTAATATTGACTAAACAGCTGATGGAAGTGTCGGTGCTGAACCATATTATTTGCTTTGGTCTCACTGAAGGGTTTTATGATTAAACAAAAAAGATTCATGACAAACCCAAGCAGTTGGAATATTATCCACACATCTACTGTATTTTACGGAGTGATAAGCTAAGTTTTGGTTTGCTTCATGCTTCTTAATTTAATAATTTAGCAATTTCAGGTTAAGTGGAGGTTTGAAGAACTCAGTAGCAGAGATGAAGGCTGAGGTGATTAATGGCAAGTTTAATATTCAAAAAGGTGTCAACAGAAGCAAATATGCACAATTAACAAAAAAACAGAAGACATCAGGGAAAACCCACATGAAGGGCCAATAAATAGCGAGGAACCAACACTGAAGAACTGAACGGGGAGAGTATATATGGGAGACAGGACAAAGGCTGGGTTAATGAGGTGAAAAGGAACGTGTGGAGGGGAGCAACTAGAGGGGAGCTAAGGGAAGGAGACTGAAACAAGTGTAATCCAACCAAAAGCTAGAATAAAACAAAATGCAAATGAAACCAATAAACTAGAAAAAACAAAAAGACATCAATCAAAGTGTAACTAAAACTCAAAAACAAAACTTAAACCAAAAGGTGCAGAGTTATGACAAGCAATCCCTAACAGCAAAAGCCAAATAGCATCCCATCACCAATGCCGCTAACTGCACGTGTTTGCTTTTTGTTTTTCTTTTCTGATCACTCCTGTGTTCATTATTGCCATTTAGGCCTTGCCATATTACGTGGTTTATTATGGTCATTTGGGTTTTGCCATAGTTTCCTGTCCTGTTTCTTACTCATTTATTTTGTTATTTCCTTTGTGCACTTTTGTTTGTCATCTTAAATGAATTTCAGATTTTTCTTTCTCTCCATTTGGTTTGGAGGTTGTTTTAAGTGGTGTTTTAGCTCCACTGTGTTTATTTCTAGTCACCCTATTTCAGTTTCCATGTTTTAACTCTGCCACAACTCTTCAAAATCTCATCTGGGTTTTGTCAGGCCTCAGTATCTAAGCTCCCTGGTGGTTTCATGCTGCCTTCTTTTATTATCTTTATGGATGTCCTGTTCCTTCCATTATGGGGTTTTTCTTTCCATTTTTTTAAAGATCTTCACTTCTCTACATCTCTTTCTGCCTGTTTTGGAGTTAAACTAAAGATGTATCCTGATAATTCTCTATCTTCATATACTACTGAAGGGCTGCACGGTGCTGTAGTGTGTAATACTGTTGCATTGCAGAAAGAAGGTCCTCGGTTTAATCCCGGGCCAGGGGTCTGTCTGGATGGGGCTCTGCATGTTCTTCCTGTGCATATGTGAGTTCTCTCTGGGTACTCCAGCTTCCTATAGGAATTGGCCTGTAGGAAGCATTTCAACATTTGTAGCAGTGAGGCTGATGTGAGCTGTGTGTACCCTGTGCTACAAACTGCAGGCAGCAGGATAATAAAAGCCAACATATTCTGCCGGCAGGTTTCTACATTTTCAGTTAATTTAGGCGTTAATAAACTGTTTCAGAGGAGTGATCATAGCGCTCTGCATCAGCAGCGCTGCGTCTGACTCCCTGCCAGCTCCCAGATCAGCTTCTCTCATTGGTTGATGCGCCGCGTCCAGCAGCAAAAACATTTTTTTTAAATCCAGCAGCTGCTTCTTGCAAAGCGTGTCCTGCACCTCAGATGCTCAGAAGCTCATGAGGCTCTGCTCCTGCTGCAGTGGAATTGCTGCTCCTGCTGCAGTGGAATTGCTGCTCCTGTTGCTGTAGCTCGTCAACCATAGAGGTGAGAACAGCAGAGAGGATCATGGGGGCTCCTCTTCCCTCCATTAAAGACATTTCATCCCAGCGCTGCGTGTCCCGAGCCCGTGACATCATCAATGACCCCTCACCCCCCCACCATGGACTGTTCTCCCTGCTGCCCTCTGGGAAGAGGCTTCCCAGCATTCAATGCAGGTCCATACACTCTGTGTATAAGAAATAACATTAAAAGTTTAATGTAAAACAGCTGCTTATGCTGCTTCCAGTAGTGTTCAAGCACAAATAGCCAAGGCCCATTTCTACTCATTCCTCTTGATGTTAAGAAGCAGTTTCTTTAACAAAAATATTGAGGTCTTTAGCAGAATTTGGCTGCATGATGAGGAGGTTTTCAAGTCATTTGATTTGGTTGTAGTGCACCAAAATAAAACAGATTCCCACTTACACCAAATCTTTTGAAGAACGTAAGAATATACTCCTTGGAATGCTCCCCTGGAGCAACATTTCAATGTTAAAATAAGAAAAATTATATAATAAGATCATGGCAAAGTCACTGCCTCTCACACTGCGAATTCCAGACTTGCAATAAACTGCAGAACTGGAAAATGTTAAAATCAATATTTATATTTCGGAGGAATTACAGGAAAATTCTGAATTTGGTGTGATTTAGATCCACATGCTTTATAAGGCAATCAAGTAAAACACACATATTGGAATAGCTTTTTCTTTTCTTAATTTCATCTTTATTTGACAGGAACATGCAAACAAACACGGAGCTACAACAATGACTGTCACTAAAGACTTGCATTAGAAGAGCATAGCTAATGCTAATTATCAGCTGCTGTTGTTGCTTTGGCTTTTATACAAAATAAAAACCAAATTAAAACTACACTACTTCAATTTAGAATATATCACTGAAGTCAAATTGAATAAACAAAACATGCACGTCATAAACAACACTCACCTCTGCCAGTGATTAAAAGTGAGTACACTTTTGGCTTGTCTTTCACCAGATTATAATCCAGCAAAAGAACATTTTAAAGCCAGGTAGTCTTGATGTCAGACAGTAATGAGGTCCAGAGCTTAGAGACCCTAAAAAAGAAGAACAAAGCTGTTATAGACTATTTCATTTTACAGTCATTATAGAATCAGAATCAAGTTTATTGCCAAGTAGGTTTGCATTTACAAGGAATTTGACTTGATGGTCATAGTGCAGACAAATTGTATATATATATATATATATATATATATATATATATATATATATATATATATATATATATATATATATATATATATATATATATATATATATATATATATATATATATATATATATATATACACAGAGATGGGAAGTAACGAAGTACAAATACTTCCATACTGTACTCAAGTAGATTTTTCTCATATTTTTACTTTACTACTTATTTTTATGGCGACTTTTTACTTCTACTCCTTACATTTTTACACAAATATCTGTACTTTCTACTCCTTACATTTTAAAAAATTGTCTCGTTACTTTAGTTTTGAATCATTTCAATGGAGTTACCGTTATTATTTTTCACGTCATCAATACCAAATTCAATCTAATTGGATGGGAATCTACGTTGCATTTGACGCACCACTACAAGATGAATCGACAGATTCGGCGGTATTCATTGCCGGCAAATCATTGCAGCTTGGTGGCGGTGGCGTTAGCATAGTAGCATGGACGACGAGATGATTGAAAATGAACACAACGGAGATCTAGTCCTATTGGCAGACATCCATTTAAAATGTAGGCAACGGCATGAAAAAAGTGGTTTCTACTTTTACTTTTATACTTTAAGTAAATTTACAAGCCTGTACTTTGTTACTTTTACTAGAGTAAAGAAGTTTAATCAGTACTTCCACTTTTACCAGAGTATTTTTAAACACAAGTATCTGTACTTTTACTCAAGTACGGAAAGTGAGTACTTTTGCCATCTCTGTATATATATATATATATATATATTAGGGATGGAACGGTTTATGAAAACCGTTCCATCCCAAAAGTTCGACTGTCTCGGTTCGGTTTGTGTGTGTTGCGTTCGGTTCATGCGCTGCTCCTTTTTCTCATAGGCGAAGCGTTTACACTCCAGAGCAGAAGGTGGCGGTACTGCGACCAACGCCAACCACCAGTAGTAAACAAGAAGAAGAAGCGAAGTAGCGTAGCCGGGTGTAGCAGAAAAAAATCAGTTGTTGTGGAGAACTATGTGGGTATTGTTAAGGAAGAAAATATTCTAAAATAGTTAACTTTGGAAAAAGGTTGGCTTTCTCTCTTCCTTTCCCAGGTCCTCTCGGTGAGCTGCGTGTGGCCACAAGGAAAACCGGCAATGCGTGTTGACGTCACAGAATTACAGAGTTTAATCCAATATAAGACAATGCATAAACTTAAAAATAAGACAATACACAAACTTACACCAAAAACTGCAGAACAACGGAGACATACATTCAATTACCTGACATAAATGGAGAGAAGGAAAGAAAGCAAAGACGTACAAAGACATCTTTGGAGAGTTGCAAGAGCAAATCTGATTTTTTACTTCTGTGTAGAAAGTTTTAACCTCTTGTATTTAATTTATTCAAATAAGGCTGGCTTTTGCTCCTCCAACCAGGAGCTATCTCTGACACTCAGAAAAACTTAGAGCTTCCCCTAATTTACGGCAAACATCTGGGGTCATTTGCTTCTTTGTTTTAACAAGAAAAAGCGAAAAGCTTGTCTTGGCATCTAGAATTCTTAAGGTCATAAAACACAAGACAAGATTCCACAGATAGCTACCATAAATTCTCAGGAACAAACTTAAATTCAGTAATCTGGTTCAAAGAAAGGTTATCTTCACAAAGTTGGTCAAAATTAAGAAATATGTTCAAAATGAGAGTGTTCAACATACCTTTTACACATGCCATAAGATTAACTGTATTAAAAACTAAAAATAAAAATTTTTCTTCAACAGTATGGCGAGTGGGAAAGAACAGGAGTTGGAAGACGCGCCAGCAGCACTTTTATAGGTCTGCTGTATGGGACCGCTTTGCATTTAGAGTGACCTACGATGATGGCGGAAAGAAAGTTGTGGATAAAAGTGAAACAGTGTGCAAGCATTCTTCAACACGACCAACATATCACGCTCACCCCGAAATCCCACATACTCACGCTGCGCTCCACAAAGCAAAGCCTACAGCCTCAGCTGTGGCTCCCGTCTGCTCTGAGTTCCTTGGAGATTGTAGAGGGCATGCACGAGATGATTGAATTCAAAGCAGCAAAACATGAGGAAATAGTTACAATTCATTAATTTTTTGGGATTTTTTCATTAATTTCATTAATTTTTATGGGATTTCGGTGTAACAATCAACATATACCAAACCAACCCGAAAACCGTGACCACGGAACCGTGAACCGAACCGAACCGTGGATTTTGTGAACTGTTCCACCGCTAATATATATATATATATATATATATATATATATATATAGTATATATAGTATATATAGTATATATATATATATATATATATATATATAGTACTGTTCTGACAGAACAGTTGATCAGGTCATAAGACAGGACGCTCCACGACTGGATCACAAGGCAGTGTGGTCTCTTGACTGAATCATAAGACAGAGTGAAGCATCTAATTTCTACAATTTTTCATATGAACACATTAATTTTATAATCCTCATTGAATAAACCTAACATTTCCCTCCTGTTGTGCATATAAACATTAGCATGTAGCACTTCTAAAAATATTTTTACTACACACATCATAAATGCATTGCAGATAAGTAACAGCTCAATACTGGATTAGAGTGGATCCTATCATTCTCTGAATCATTGACTGGAGACATGGTTTTAAGCAACAAATAAAAAAGAAAAATATGAAAAACAATCCTACAAATGGTAAAGCTATCTTCATCAGCACCTGCCACCATGATCCCATGGTGAACCAACTTGTCCATGGTGCTGGACTTGCACCGGAGGTGTGATGGTCAACATATCTCTTTAAATCTTCAACTCATCCAGAGCGGTCTGTATGAGTACAAACATAACGAGTCTGTTTTATTCAAACCTTCAGCAACGTGCTTGGAATGCTGCCGCCACATATTGGCGCTGTAGGGATGACTTGGTGTGGATCCATCAAAAACCTTTCTGGTTTTCCTTTGTCTCTGGCAGTCAGCTTGAGTCCCTAAGAGCACCAGTCCAATGGTCATCATCAGGCAGCAGAGCCACTTTAGTTTACCCATCTTCACCAGTCCCTCCAAGGAAGCACCCACTAACCAGGACGCTAAGGGATTGGGTTAGGTTGGTTTCTTCACCAGCGTTGAGACGAAAAGCTCTAAATTGCTTAACGCCTTTGAAGCTGGGCTTCACCACAGATCCCTACCTTAGTCGTGGGGTCCCTGTGAAGGTAACTGGGCATCTCGCTGAGGAAAATCTTTAATCAGCTTACAATGACTCTGGTGGATCCAAGTGTTTCTCTCTTGGATCTTCAGCGGTTGGAGTTGCTAGTTGCACAATGTAGGGTCCTTCACACCCTGGAGCTGCCCAATTTTCCCCTTGATGATTTTAATCAGCACACGGTCTCCAGGCTTCAGGCCTTCCTGTGGGGAAACAAAAGGAGCTTTGGGAAGATTACATGTTCTTTGCAACATGTGAGACATGCTCTGCAAAAATTTTTAAAGTAGTTATTTAATCCTGCAGTTGCATTAAATACTTGTTGTACTATACTCATTATCCCTCCTCTAGAGACATGATAAACTCATGGCTCAAAATAGCTGCTGCTTTCAATCAGAATCAGAAATACTTTAATTATCCCAGAGGGAAATTACTTTTGTTACACGCTCCAGTTACAGTTTTCTATATATATATATATATACACACATCTAGCTACACAATATAATAAAGATAAAAAATAAGAATATGGGGAGCTACTGTTTCCACGGGTCCCCTTTAACCCTTTAGAGTAGGACACTACAGGCTTGAGCCTATCACCATGAGGCTGCAAACACAGAGGTCATATAACTTGCTTTACCGCCAACTGTTTGGATGAACGGTTTTTGATAATTTGGTAGAGGTAAGACAGTTGCTGAGAAAAGTTCTACTTTTAGATTTGTGAATTGCTGTTCTACTTCTGGGGTCCATTAGATCGTCTCTGACATAACTACTAGTCTGTCATAAAAAAAACTTAAGAAAAGCTGAGTTTTTTTTTCATAATGTGGAATCTAAGCCCTGCAATAATTGCACAATTCTAAAAAAGACATTCTTGTAGCTTTTTACCTTCTTCTGAAATAACATGGCCCAAGCAACAGACTTATTTCTGCACCCGCTAAAATTTTTATAACTGGTTTTATACTTTCCTTTGCTTCACATTTTAGCAGATATTGTTTTATCCTTGAGTGATTTAGGAACTACTTTAACTGAATCTACAGTTGTCAACAGTCCTACATCAATTTTTCCTGTAGACCACAAAGCATTTGGAATATCTTTGAAATCATTTTCATCAGATTGTGATAGCAAAGAATGCAGAGTTATTTTAACACATGCTAAATCTTGGTCCTGGGGTTTTACATCGAACAGAATTTTATAAGACTGTTTCCATAGTTGGAAAATAGACATGGAGCATTACATGTATTATTCATACAGCCTTCATTCCCCCCAGTGTGGGGAACATTGCAATGCCTAATTTTCCATTAAGTCTCACTTTAACAGATTAATGGCGTGAGTTGGTGATATTACTACAAAAACATGCAACCTTGCAACCTTTTTCCTGTTTGAAGGTCTTCTATTTCTATTGCCCTTGACATACATTCCTAGGATGTTTGACCATTTGCTGATTTTACAAAAAATAGCTTTTTAGATGGTTTTAGCATTCACATTATCTTTAACACAAGTATTACAGGCTCCTGTATCACATATAAGTCTAACTGCCTGTCCATTAATTGCTAGAACTATTCATGTTTTTGCTTTTAATGCATTTAATATCCCCCATGCTCCATACATGCCATATCCATCAACAAGACTTGGTACAGCTGTAACTTAAATGGTCCCAGACCAACTTTTGATCAAAAGCTTTAGGCCTACCCTTTGTCGTGTAGATCAGTTCCTCTGGAGTGGTCACCAAGATGCCCAGGGCAGGGCTGGACCAAACTGGCCAAGTCCAGCGAAGGGGGGATGGCTGTCAACGGATTTTTGGCCTTGGTCCCACACGGTCCTGGACAATTGGATCTAGGGGCGACAGTGCCGTTGGATGTAGGAGTTTGCCTCTGAAATCGAAGGGTTGACAGTTCAGACGGTTTCAGTGTCGTTGTGTCCTTGGGCAAGACACTTCACCTGCATTGTCTACTGATGGTGGTCAGAGGGCCCAGTGGCGCCAGTGTACGGCAGCCCCGCTTCTGTCAGCGAGCCCCAGGGCAGCTGTGGCTATAATGTAGCTTGCCACCATCAGTGTGTGAGTGTGTGCGTGAATGGGTGAATGAATGTAGTGTAAAGCGCTTTGGTCAAGTCTCCTAACTTGAATAAAGGCGTTATATAAGTACATGCCATTTACCATTTACCATTTACTTGACTCCCGGGTTTCGGCACCAAAAATATTGGGTTAAAAAATGTAGGTTTGTAAAAGAAGAACTGAAATACACAGTAATGGATTTTCATATAGCTTCTGCAGAAGGATAGACAGTTGAACCCCAGACTCAAACACACTGTCTCCCACTGGACCTCCTCTGCAGAGCGTTTTATTAACAGAACATGACACATGGTTACAAACAGAGTATTGTTCTGACAGAACAGTTGATCAGTTCATGAAGACAGGACACTCCACGACTGGATCACAAGGCAGTGTGGTCTCTTGATTGAATCATGAGACAGAGTGAAGCATCTCATTTCTACAAAGTTTCATCTGAACACATTAACCTGACAGGTGTTTTAACATCCCTGCTGGCATTGAAGGTAAGAGATTAAATGCAGCCTTTAGTGCTATCTTAGATTCAATTGGCTTTTTTCAAAATGTGCGTAGTCCCAAGCATTCCCATCTTCATACTTTGGATCTTGTGCTGACATACGACATTGACTGTGAAAAAATAACAGTATTTTCTCACAATCCTGTCCCCTCTGACCACTTTTTAGTAACTTTTAAAAATACTTTAACAGAGTTCTCCTCCCCCAACAGAAGGTTAACTCTGATAAATTATTGTCAGATAATGCAGTTTTTATCTTTTGTGTATCACTGAACAATACTGTTAAGGGCAGCCAGTGAATGTAGTCTCATTCACAAATTGGTGACGTTTTTAAAGGGGTTTCATCTTCTCTTCATGAGGCTTTAGATACTGTGGCCCCTTTGAAATAGAATATTGCAGCATGTGGTTAAAACAAGTTACAGAAAGTTGAAACCAACAGTAAATTGTTGAAGAAAAAAATCTTGAGTGTGAAGGAGTCTGGCCTCTCTTCCAGATAGTTGTTGACAGTACTAAACAACCCAACTTATCCAGGCACTGCCTGACTAAGTACTGTTGTTAAATACAGGAAAAAAAACAAGCTCAATATAGAGTGTGAGATGGATCATCACAGCTCTCTGCTATTCCTCAGGAGAACAGAGCTGTTAGGAAAGATCACATAGTCTAGAAAGGCTTTGACTCGGGATTGAAAAACTGTCTGGCTCCTGTGAACACCAGCCAGCCTCAACACTATCTACTTCTTGTTTTTTTGATGGCCTTAACATGAATGTTAATACCATAACATCTGAAAACAACGGATCCTATAGTTCCCCACATTTTGCAATCACAAAGGGTTTCTTTACCCTGAGGAGGTCAGGTGATGAAGCCTCTCTAGTCAAATAAGTCATTTGGGATTTAAAATGTATTGGTCCTCAAAAAATAACACTTAAGGGATTCTTAGGAAAGTCTGCCGTCTAAAATGCAAATAGCTTGTGTTTGATTTTGCATCCTCATAATAAAATTGAAGCAGAATCTCTTCAGTTGCAGGTTGAGGACCGGCGAATGTGCAGAAATGAAGAACCTTCTCTGGTATATCACTGCTGCATCAGGCAAGTGCAACCGGTTTTAATCTTCATTTTTTCCTGTTTTAAAAGCTGAACTTTTATCTAAAACAGGAATGTTTAATTTTCCAATATATGATGTTTATAAAATAAAAATGATTTCATATGAGATTTTTATTCCTGAAATGGAGAATGATTCCAGATGTTGGGGGTAATATTTCCATGTCTGTCCCTGCAGCTCTCTGCTCCGTCTCCTCTCTCTCTGAACGGCGCTACCATTTCATTTATGAACCAAAGAACTGGACCGAAGCTCAGAGTTACTGCAGGGAAAATTACACCGACCTGGTTACCGTGGACAACCTGGACGTCATAACAACCCTGAACAACATGGTGGACCGGAACAAATTGTCTCCCTTTACATATGTAAAGTCACTTTTTCTCTTTTCGTCCTGAAAATAATGTAAACCGAAAGTGGTTATGAATGTTTTTAGTAATCGGGTATTTATTTTCATTGTTCTTTCTTCTAACTACACTTGAAATTTAATTATATTGATAAATGTGTTATTTTGTGTTCTAAAACACAAATCAAGAGGAAACCCAGCATTGGGTCAAATGCCGTTACTAATATTTTACATAATATCCGATTCTTAATGGAAAGGGTTTAACATTCTGTTTGACAATTCTCTGTAGCTAAAACATATTTAACCATCATAGAAAGACCCTGCTCTCTTCCTTATGAACATGTGAAATAAAATGAGCACTGAGAGTCGATATGCAAGGAAGAAATAGTTTTATTTACTGCAGAGGAGAACAACACTCACAGTTGAACTGTTAGTGAGGCTCCGGCAGGTCGGTTTCCCATTCCTGCATATAAAGAGAATTCTTACACACAAACGTTCGTTCTTGCCAAGAGAAACAAGTTTGAGTTCATCAAAGACACACATTTTTCACTAGTCACATAAAAACATTTCAAAGCAGCTGTCTCTGCCGTTCACAGCATTAGGGAGTGTTAACCACCTTGAAGGACATTTATCTATATTTAACCCTTTTCTAGAGTTAGGAGGCAACCGCCCTCCGTCATCTGACTCCCAACTCCCCACATAACTTCCAGCATAGACAGGTTCAAGCTTACTTCTATTTGGCTGAGGAAAGGCACAGTCTAATATCTCATCTCACAATTCCTCCCTTTTGTCCCCTAACGGAACAATAAAAAATAAAACAGAGTAAAAACTGTAAAAAATGTAAAATACATAAAATTATAAATGTGTTATAAGAATAGTAACATAAAAGCAAAAAAAAACAAAAAAAAAACAAGAAAGATCAGGAAGAACATCAGTGCTTCCTTTCCTATCTGTCACCATTCAGTGGTTTAAGACAGAAACTTCATTAAGGCTCATCACTGTCTTCCAGTTAATCATAAGCAAAGAAAAGAAAATGCCTTACATTTAAAAAATAAAATGTAAAAGTAAAAAAAATAATAATAAAGTAACACAAACTGGTTTGAAACAAATTCCTCTTCCAACAGGGGTTTAGTGGGATCTGACTGTTGATTTTACATTACAGGTAAAAGCCAGTAAATTAGAATATTTTGAAAAACTTGATTTATTTCAGTAATTGCATTCAAAAGGTGTAACTTGTACATTATATTTATTCATTGCACATACCCTAATGCATTCAAATGTTTATTTCATTTAATTTTGATGATTTGAAGCGGCAACAAATGAAAATCCAAAATTCTGTGTGTCACAAAATTAGAATATTGAGTAAGGGTTAAATTTTGAAGACACCTGGTGCCACAAACTAATCAGCTGATTAACTCAAACACCTGCAAAGGGCTTTAAATGGTCTCAGTCTAGTTCTGAAGCCGACAAACATGGGGAAGACTTCAGATTAGACAGCTGTCCAAAAGGCGACCATCACCACATTGCACAAGGAGGGAAAGACACAAAAGGTTATTGCTGAAGAGGCTGGCTGTTCTCAGAGCTCTGTGTCCAAACACATTAATAGAGAGGCAAAGGGAAGGAAAAACTGTGGTCAGCGATAGGGATCACCGCGCCCTGGTCAAGATTGTGAAAAAAAAAACATTCAAAAATGTGGGGGAGATTCACAAGGAGTGGACAGCTGCTGGAGTCAGTGCTTCAAGATCCACCACCAAGAGACGCTTGAAAGACATGGGTTTCAACTGCCACATACCTCGTGTCAAGCCACTGTTGACCAAGAAATGGCGCGAAAAGCGTCTCACCTGGGCTAAGGAAAAAAAGAGCTGGACTGCTGCTGAGTCCAAAGTCATGTTTTCTGACCAAAGCTAATTTAGCATTTCCTTTGGAAATGTAGGTCCCAGAGTCTGGAGGAAGACAGGAGAGGCACAGGATCCACGTTGCCTGAAGTCTAGTGGAAAGTTTCCACCATCAGTGATGGTTTGGGGTGCCATGTCACCTGCTGGTGTCGGTCCACTCTGTTTCCTGAGATCCAGGGTCAACGCAGCCGTCTACCAGCAAGTTTTAGAGCCCTTCATGCTTCCTGCTGCTGACCTGCTCTATGGAGATGGAGATTTCAGGTTCCAACAGGACTTGGCGCCTGCACACAGCGCAAAATCTACCCGTGCCTGGTTTACGGACCATGGTATTTCTGTTCTAAATTGGCCAGCCAACTCCCCATGACCTTAGCCCCATAGAAAATCTGTGGGGTATTGTGAAAAGGAAGATGCAGATGGCCAGACCCAAAAACGCAGAAGAGTTGAAGGCCACTATCAGAGCAACCTGGGCTCTCATAACACCTGAGCAGTGCCAGAAACTCATCGACTCCATGCCACGCCGCATTAATGCAGTCATTGAGGCAAAAGGAGCTCCAACCAAGTATTGAGTATTGTACATGCTCATATTTTTCATTTTATACTTTTCAGTTGGCCAACATTTCTAAAAATCCCTTTTTTGTATTAGCCTTAAGTAATATTCTAATTTTGTGACACACAGAATTTTGGATTTTCATTTGTTGCCGCTTCAAATCATCAAAATTAAATGAAATAAACATCTGAATGCATCAGTCTGTGTGCAATGAATAAATATAATGTACAAGTTACACGTTTTGAATGCAACTACTGAAATAAATCAAGTTTTTCAAAATATTCTTATTTACTGGGTTTTACCTGTAGAGTAATCACATCTTGCTGCAATGGGGTTATGTCTGTAGTTATTCATCTTTAAACCAAAGCTCTAATGCAGGGAATGCAGCAACATCCACAAAGTGTTAATATGGCAGCAAAAACAGCAATAGATAAAAGGACAGATGATACCAGGTTTTTATGCTTTCCAAACGTAGACATCCAATTGTCCCACATAGAAGTGTCTACATCTGAATATTCTTTCAGTCTGTTGCAGGGCCGTGCAGAGACCACTAAAGGGGCAGGTGCTCAAAAAAAAAAAAGGGCACATCTTATCGCATTTTAGGACAGGATATTAACAAAGTCACATAGCTTTCAGAGTTTAATGAACAATGATAAATTACAAAATTGTGAGACATACAATCAAAGCTAAGGGAAATCTCTACATAGAACATAGAACTATGCATATGTAAAATATTTTATTAGTAATTTCTTTCTGCAGGTCTATTTTGTTGTAGGAAAGTATTTCAATATTTAAACCTGCAATTTAGCCAAAGATGTACATCAGAGCTGGACCCCCAGACATATTTTGTCTTTACAGAATTAAACTGTTAAAAATGCATACAAGGACACAATGCAACCTTTTAGTGTACTGTAACCTATAAAAAAGAATGTCTGCCTGGTTTGCTGTACTGACAGTGGAGATGGAGACGGTCCATTCAGAAAAGCTGAGCTGCTGCATCAAACTTTAACGTGGAACTGCAGAAAAAAAAGAACAAAACAAACATTTTATTAATGCATGTCACCATGAGAAAAGCCTACTCTGTTTGTGTCTTAGTGTATTTTGTAAGTACCTATATACATTTTCTTCAATCTTTCCTCTTCGTTTTTTCTTGTCAGTTTCTCTTTTCTTTTTTTCCTCATTGTCTCATCTTTTCTGTGTTGAGTGAAGGTCAATGTCTTATTTATTTCAGTCTCTTGCCTTTCTTTTCCCCCCAAACTAAATCCAAGATTATGATCCAAAAACGTATTTTCCGTCATGGTGATTTAACTGTTTAAAAACAAATTTCCAACTTTTAAGCATTTTTGCTATTTTTGTTCTCTTTTGTTCACAGCAGCAGTTTTCTGTTAGCCATGTCTTTAAAAATGTTAATAACCTCACTGTGAATGATTGGCACATCCTTCTCGATTGCCAACAAAAGAAGGTCTGACAACCGATCCTCCTTGCATAAGCTGCGCAGTTTTGTTTTCACCAGCTTCAGACATTATATCTATCATATATCTATCATGGTAGTTCTGGATGAGTTCTCCTTCAAGATACATTTACCTAACGCTAGAATAAATGAAATGTACATCATGCAGCAAAGGAAATGAGAAAATCAGACATATATCCATTATGGAGATAATAGGTTTTTGACGGGCGATGTGCCCCTATTGCATAAGTAATACTGAAGAATGTCCTACTATCATTAACGACACAGGGAAGCTTTTTAGTTATCTTGCTTTGCTAGCAAAGTCATTAGCTAGCAGCTAGCTCATAGCACAAGAACAACAGCCTAATGTCTGTATGATAAAAATACTGAATCGATAGATAAGAACAGCTTTTCCTCACCTGGCTGTCTCCTCCCGCTCAGTAGTTCTTCAGAGAAAGGCGCACCGCGTCCTATACTTTCCTCCGTTTAAACCGCTACTCTTTGCTAAAGTAGAGAAATTATACAACGTTCAAAGTTTTCCGTTGTCTGACAAGTAGGAAGCCTACTCCAGTATTTTCACCAAAAGTTATGTTTTTTAATTCACAAAAGAACTGTTCTGTAATCATTACAGACCAGTTTTTTGTGAATTAAAAAACATAATTTTCAATGTAAAAGACTAAAAGCACAGAGTAAACAGTGTTTTAGATCAAACAATACTGCATCATCCATGGGGCTCATTTGGTTTTACTTACATCTCTATTCAGGTTGACATTGGAGAGGCGGTGCAGACTGAAGACATAGCCATCCGTCCGATCATGGTTGATCTTGCTGGAATGTTCGCTACCTTTAGCTCCGCAGTTAGCCGCCTTATCCAACTGTGCGAAGACTACCATCAGAAGCTGTATTGTTGGGAATAAAAATACATTGTGAGCCAAAAATAGCACAGACACCTTTTTCAGCGAGTAACATGTCTACTGCAATTCCATTTTGAAAAGCAGTATTAGAAGTTGCAGATAGCTGTTCATGTACCGCAGCCAGCCCTGAAGTAGTATAATATGACAATCTTTAACATTGTAATGCATGTTATTTATGCCGTCCACATTCTTATTACTTGTGATCCAAAGGAATATTGACGCTGATGCAACCTGATCTGCAAAATTATATTCATCAGGAACTCCCCATGGGACGCCTATGGCATCAATAAAAGTGGGTTTAGGCCTCAGAATAAAAAAATGTTTGCTTCTCTACTTGATCCAGTCTGCAGGAACAACATAGTTTATAATAAGATCACCAGCTTGCATTGGATACAAACAGATAGGTAGAAGGAGTGTAATTATAGCACAAACAGAAATAATTTTTAGGTAACTTGTCATTAATTTCTCATCATCATACCACCACCAGATGTCGCTCCTGGATAGTGGACTAAACCCCTCTGCTACCTTCACAGCTGTGGAAAAATTCTGTCAGGTCAATTTCCTCAACTTAACACTTCCATTCAGCTTTATACATGTAAAATTATTTGGTGCCATCTTAATATAAAATACAGGTTTCTGTGTATCTTCCTTGGTAAGAACGTAAACAACACCTCATTCTTTATATGGCATTGTTAAAGATGATTCAGTCATTAGATCAATAATACAGTTTCTTGGTAATGGGGCTGGAACAATCCTTAATATCGGTCTTGGTCCCATACGAACCACACAATCAGTTTTAGTTTTATTTGCTGCTCCTTCTACCAGGAGTAGCAAATTATTAGTTTGTTGTGAAACTCCTATAGTGACTTTAAACCATTCATCAGTGGAGAGCTTTTCTCTTTTATCTCTTCAGGTTTGTCCATGGTATGAAAATGGTTGTTAAAGAGCTAGATAGTACACACGCTTGGATGGCTGTTACTGCAGAGCAGCCATCTTCACAAGAACAGTTGGAAGGTTGTATTACAGCTCACTTTTTCCGATGTGGGTGAGATGTTATAGGGAACACACCTGTTTGCTGCCAGGTGGGGCAGTTCTATACCTTCCAGCTCACCAAAGCGATTACAGGTCACCCTGTTGGGGAGTAAGTCATTGGCAGCAGTTGGCCTGACCAGTTCACAACTGGTTCTATAGACCAAGTTAGACTCATTTTCTGGTCTTACATCCTGAGAATTATCGCTGACTTAAAAGTAAAAAGATGATTCCCTGAGTGGGGATTGTTCTCCTCTGGGAAGAGGTAAACCAAAGTGAAGTTCTATCCTGGTAGGATCTGTGAAGATTCTGGGGGTCATGTTGATTAGGGTTCTTGTGAAGGATTTGCACAAACCAGCCAGAAAACCACTGAAATTTTTCACAAAAAAAGTGTTCAAAAAATGATAAACTGGGCCAAAAGACAGAGGTCAATAAGACAGACTTTAATTCAGGTACTAACTTAAAGAACTCGGGACATGGGGGAAACTTAAATAGAGGCTGATCAAACCACTGTTGGCACACAGGGGGGATAATTAGGCTGATTAGCCTGGAGCGACTAATTGAGGAAAGCTGGAGCTCATTGCAGTCTTCCACCAGCAGATCCAAAGGTAACTGGCAATTCAAAGAAAAAGAAATTAATCAATTGCATCTTAACAAAAAAAAACAACCTGACAAAGTTAACTAAATGTGTGCACTGCAAAAAGCTAACTTAAAGTCAGGCTAATGAAAACATATGAAATGTGCAACTCATTTTGAAAATGAAAAATATTAAAGTTACCTCACAGCTTCAGAGTGTGACTGCAGGCTGTCACATCTCTCTATGATAAAACATATGAGTGTTTATACATGGACCTTTCACACAGAGTAAGACTTCTGACCAACGTGATGATTTTGGTTTGAGCCATACTCATTTAGTCCAGTGCAGAGCTACGAATTTGGGCTAATATCAAACAATATTCAACATATTCTCATTATCAGTGCGTATGAAATCGTACGAAAAGTTATGCACACATTAATTCGTACGTTTTGGACGTTTTTCCTCAAAAAACCACATCAGTGTGCATGCGCTGGCAGACAGAAAAAAAAGCAGATCCGCGGACGGACGTAAAACTGGGAAAAACAGTGCAATCAGCACTTATTCATGTCTCTAACTACGTTGCTGGCTGTTTTATATCTTAGGGTTAGGGTCAGGGTTAGGGCTAATTGTAATTTATATTCTAGATTCGTAAATGGTGCGTCAGATGCGCATGCGCATACGACGAAAAAAACGTCCAAAACGTACGAAATTACGGTGCATAACTTTTCGTACGATTTCATCAGTCTGGCTGCTTATAAAACTGCTTTCATAGTGATGTGAAGTTTCCTGTAAAACCTTCATATGAGGTTCAATCTTAAAACTGCACAAAACTCCACGGACTGAGCATTAGGTCCTTTAAAACAGCGAGATGCTTCTTGTTTTTGTAAAAGTCATTAATAACCAATGTTTTTTCTCAACAGGCCTGGATTGGTTTGTATCGTGATGTGACCATTTGGAACTGGTTGTCTGATAGAGATATTTACCAAACTGAACATCCAAACTTCAGTAACTGGGACAGTGGACAACCAGACACACTGTGGTACGGGGCAGGATGTGGAGCCCTGTACAGTACGGGAAAGTGGCACGATGCCTACTGTGAACAGCTCTTATGGTCGGTCTGCTCCAATGTGACAGGTAAGAGTTTAGTTACAGCTTTCATCTTGGAGAATGGCTACGTGTTATAGAAGAACTAATCTAGTTATTCTATAACCTTTTTTCCAGTATTTGATCATAAAAAAATACAATTCAGTGACGTTTTGCTAGGACATTAATTTGATATGATTTGGATTCAGGTTGCTCCAAGAACAATGAACAGAAAACTGCAAACATTTTATAATTTTTATTCACAGTAATTCTGAGATGAGGCCATAGAAAGTAGCCAGCTTCCATTGAACTCTTAAAACACAGACTGATGAGTTTTTGGAGAAGCAGGAATTGGTTAAAGAAAAATGTAGTGGTGTGTTACCATAACATGGGTTCTTCATCTGAGATCTGAGTAGAGCTTCAGTCATGTTTTTGGACTCTGGGAGGAAGCCGGAGTACCCAGAGAGAACCCACACATGCTCAGGGAGAACATGCAAACTCCATACAGAAAGACCCTGGGCCAGGAATCAAACCTGGGACCTTCTTGCTGCCAGGCAGCAGTGCTACCCACTGTTCCACTGAGCAGTCCAGGTCTAGAGTCCGTGAGGCTGAAATCAGAATCTAAAGACAGTAGCAGAGGTCGGGTGTTCCAGGGGCACACTGCAGCGAGAAATTACCGAAATCCGATGGACAAAATGTATTTGTCCATATGCGATCTGTATCTGATCTTTTTATGTCTGCACAACAGAGATCTGAGTTTTTACAATGCGACCCATGCCACTTGGGTCTTCGGTCCTGAATCTCATACATATCTGAACTTTTCAAATGCCACCTGTGTCTGAACAGCCAGGTCGCATTCTTCCCACCTAAACGCCATTAATACTCAACAAAGGTCACTATTCTGCATCTTGCAATGCAGAAACAGGAAGAAAGACAACAACCTTGGTGGACCGAAAGGAGAGCAGTCTTTATTTTCAACCCTCTTGAAAAGATTTTATTCCTAAAGTCCTGGCTGAGGTTGGCAAAGAAAGGATGGACTGCTAGATGCTCTATACACAGAGCACGCTGGCTTGTGACATTGTTGCATCCTCTACTGCGCATGTGGGACATTTAAGTTGTGTGAATGCAGTTCAAACAGGAGATCACTTACAGGTCACATATATTTGGAAATGTGAACAGCACAAAAGAATCGGATTTCTCAAAAAAATCGTAAGGAGGCGGCTCTGGGCTTTCTTTTACAGGGCGTCGCTGTTAAGAGTCCAGTCCAGTTTATTATTGACATGAACGCTCAGGGATTTGAAACTCTCCACAGTTTCTATCTCCTGCCCTGGATGTTCACGGAGGGGTGAGGTGGGGGTCTTCTCCTGAAGTCCATCACCATCTCCTTGGTCTTACTGGACTTCAAACACAGGTGGTTCTTCTCAGTGTTGGGCACTTTACTTTGAAAAAGTAATTAGTTATAGTTTTTAGTTACTTCTCCCAAAAAGTAACTGAGTTATTAACTGAGTTACTCCACAATAAAAGTAACTAGTTACTAGTAAAAGTAACTATTGCGTTACTTTTGCGTTTCTCGCCTCCGTAACCCTCCCCACCCGGCCCCCACCTTCTCGCCGTGTGTTTCTAAAGCCAGCTGAATAGAGCGGACGACAAAGACAAGAACCTGCAGAGAGTTTAGCATTTATTGCAACTCAACCTAAATGACATCAGGGGGGAACGCTATCTGACGGGCCTATAAACCCCGTCAGATAGCGTTCCCCCCTGCTTAACATGGGGGGAACGCTATCTGATGGGCCTAATATCCTTTGTGCAAGGAGGAGCAGGAGGAGCACTGCCAGAGCCCTACAAAATGACCTCCAGCAGGCCACTGGTGTGAATGTCTCTGACCAAACAATCAGAAACAGACTTTACCAGGGTGGCCTGAGGGCCCGATGTCCGCTAGTGGGCCCTGTGCTCACTGCCCGGCACCGTGGAGCTCCATTGGCATTTGCCAGTCCGCTACTGGAGCTCTGTGCTTTTCACAGATGAGAGCAGGTTCATCCTGAGCACATGTGACAGACGTGAAAGGGTCTAGAGAAGCCGTGGAGAATGTTATGCTGCACCCTGACTGCCATTAGGTATGGGGATGAAATCCTTGCACCCATTGTCAGACCCTATGCTGGTGCAGTGGGTCCTGGGTTCCTCCTGGTGCACGCCAATGCCCGGCCTCATGTGGCGAGAGTATGCAGGCAGTTCCTGGAGGATGAAGGAATTGGTACCATTGATTGCCCCCCCCCCCCCCCCCCCTACCCCCACGCTCGCCTGACCTAAATCCAATAGAACACCTCAGCGACATTATGTTTCCATCCATCCCACGCCTCCAGGTTGCACCTCAGACTGTCCAGGAGCTCAGTGATGCCCTGGTCCAGATCTGGGAGGAGATACCCCAGGACGCCATCCGTCGCCTCATTAGGAGCATGCCCCCACGTTGTCAGGCATGCAGACACGCACATGGGGGCCATGACAATGACTGAATACCATTTTGAGTTGCTGCATTGAAATTTCAGCTAAATGGACTATAGCCTGCTGCATCATTTTTTCACTGTAATTATTGGGGTGTCTTTGAATTCAGCCCTCTGTAGGTTGATCATTTTCATTTCCATCAAATGGTGTGGCATCCTTTTGTTCCTAACACATCACCCAGTCTATGTCTGTAAGAATAAGCAGCAGGATTATTTTCCCCATTGAGATCTGATGTGTTTTCGAAGTTTTCCTTTAATTTTTTTGAGCAGTGTATCAATACAGCTTAAAATGGGGAGAGGGTTGGGAAAAAGCTGAGATTGTCTGTGATGATGTGACACACTGTAAATGTGTACTAAAGACAGCATGTGAATTTGACCTGTCAATAAACGCTTTCCTCCGTCCTGTAGGCAAATGAGATATTCGACTGAAGGCGTCTTGATTTTTGAGAATTCTACCATTTCTAGCCTCCAACACTACTATCCGTACCAGAGGCGTTGCAGTCGTGTTTCCCTGCCGTTTGTTTTCTATTTAGGCTGCTGCGGTCATATTAGCGCTCAGGGTCTGACTCTGGAGGCTAGAGGTTCAACCTGGATGGTTCTGACTTGGAAGCTGTGATGCCTCTCTGTCCCTCAGCATCACTACCCCTCTCCTTAGCTTTAACTGGCTGATGGTTCAACCTCACAGACCAACTCCAGACTGAATGTTTTTTAACAATGATGTATTATAGCATGCTAAGCTAGCTCTAACAGTGTTCTCCCTCTGACGTCTCCACACGGAGATGGGTTTTTACTAGCTGTTAATCAGAGCGCTGCTATAGAGCTACTAAATGCAGGTTATTTGGGTTAGAAATAAGCCAGTTTGATTCCCAATAACTAAGAATCACCTTGTTTGTCCAGCTGCATGATTTTAGTACAAAATCACATGAAATCAGTATTGCATCATCAACCCTACAAAGTATAATTTATTTTTTTCATTTATTTTGTACCTATTTATATATCAAGCTTTTATTTCTGTAGTTTTAACTATGTCAAAGTTGGTCCCATCATAGAAGAAATCAAAGTGATACAAAATTTTAAAAGTAAAATAATTTTGGGGCTCAGCTAGCAATCATTTAACACTAGAATATGACATAAACTTACCAAGCTAAGTGCAGTCTGTTTTATCATTTTCAGGACAGAATGCAAAATTTATCTTCATCAACACTGCAATGACCTGGAAGGACGCTCGGAGCTACTGCCGGGAACACTTTACAGAGCTGGCCATTCCCAGAAACATGTCGGAGAACGACCAGATCAGGGCGGTGATCCCAGCAGGCCACTTCTGCTGGGCAGGCTTTTACAGAGACAGCTGGAAGTGGTCGGACGGAACCATGTATGTGTATCGACCCTGGGTTTCAGGCCAACCTAATGGTGGATCAGATAAATGCGCGTCGGCATTCTTTGATTACTCTGGTCACTGGGGGGACTGGCCATGTGATTTAAGACAACCGTTTATATGCCACCATGGTAAGCTGTTACTGTGTGTAAATGATAGTTTGTTTTATATCTTAAACTTTTAAGTTTAACGATTATGATGATTAAAGTTTGCATCAGAAATATAAATTTTAACTAATGTTAAAAGGGTCTCAGAGAGACAGTCTCCTTTTAAAACAGTTTAAAATTTTTAAACAGACGAGGAAGTTCATAATCAGAACCGGTCTCAGCTGCCCTGTGTGATGGTGAGATAATCGGTTCGTTTGAATTGGGCTGATCATTGTGAGAAATGTTTGGTTCATGCCCAAACACTCCCAAACAGACCTCAGTCAGTCTGGGTCGGACAGAACACCTCTGATGTCATCAGTCTAAGCCCTTCCCCTGCCGTTCACCCTGATGACGCACGACTGCGTCCCCAGGTTCACCACCGATCACATGGTGAAGTTTGCAGACGACACCACGGTGGTGGGCCTCATCAGAGACGACAACGACCTGGACTACAGAGAGGAGGTGGAGCAGCTGGTGGTGCAGAGATAACAGCCTGATCCTGAAGGTGGAGAAGACCAAGGAGATCATGGTGGACTTCAGGAAGAAGCGGCCTAACCACGCTCCACTGCTCATCAACAGCTCAGCTGTAGAGGTGGTCAGCAGCACCACATTCATCACAGACACCCTCACCTGGAATGCCATCCCAGCGCTGCGTGTCCCGAACCCGTAACTGCCCTCTGGGAAAAGGCTTTGCAGCATTCGATGCAGGTCCAGCAGATTCTGCAACAGTTTGTTTCCCGCTGCCATCAGACTGCTGACCTGCTGAACTCTAATCTGTGCTCTGCATCAAACTTGCACCACCAATGTGGCTGGAATTTTTAAAATCTTTTTAAATAGGACACAACTCAATGTTCTACTGCATTATGCATCATATTTGTTTTTCACTGCACAGAACTTGTTTATATTCATGCCTTTTGCACCATTATTTTTCAACTGGTTTATTTTTCTCCTACATTGATCACTGCTGCACTTTATATTTGTAATGTCTATCTTACTCCAACTGCAGTATCATTACACTGCTGTAAGCTGTGTGCAACAGAATTTAGTTTCGTATACGCTCTTTGCATACTAAATGACAATAACGTTTGTCTACGTCAAAGCGGATGTGTTTTACTTTGTAACCGCGTCTTTCTTCCTGTCAGACCCATGAAATAGAATTGCTGCGTAGTCCGACTAAAGTAGACCTGGGTTCAGCCGAAGCTACACTGCCCCCTGCAGGACATTATCACCACTGAACACTCCGATCAGACAAAAAATTGTGTTGGAAGAGGTCGTGGCGCTAAACGACCTCTTCCAACCCATTTTTTTGTCTGATCGGACGCTAAAACGGATTTGGTGTTTTCTGGTCTTAATGTTCAGCAACCTGTCCTGATGTTGTGATGGCAGACAGATTTCAGGAGGTGACATCCATATTGGAATAATGTAGCTAATGAAATGTTCTGGATGTTTCTCTTAAAGACCCGGTGCCGTTCACAAAGCAAGTGGTGAAAGTGAAGCTGGTGGGAAACTCTGCTGTGGATCTGAATGATCCTGCTGTCCTGGAGAAGCTGCAGGAAAAGGTAAATAATGGCAGGAAATGACCTTCAGATTTATCTTCTGCCCCATCTAGCTGCAAAGCCGTTGATTTCTGCACCAGCATCATGAAGGTTTGTGTTTCAGCTCCAGCAGAAGCTGCAGGAGACGAACTCGTCTGCAGAAGTCAAACTGAGCTGGAAGAAACGTCTGGATGGAACGACCTTCTACAAGGAGAAAAAGGAGGAGGAGCTAAAATGACATGATTATGATGATGATGATGATGATGATGATGATGATGATGATGATGATGATGATGATGATGATGTTTGAGATATCAGTAGATCCTTAAAAATGTTAGACACATTAAAGATGTAATATTAACTAAACAGCTGATGGATGTGTTGGTTTGGAACCGCAATATTATTTTAACCTTTTTAGTCACATTTTAGCTCCATTGTTTTAATTTAAAGGAAAAGTTCGGTCAGCAGGAATAATCAATGGTTCATTTATTATTATTCATTATTTATACCTAAAACTAATACGTTTGTGGTGATTTAATGAATTTAGTGTTAATCAGTAAAAAAATAAAAAATAATAATTTTCGTGGTGATCAATGAGTCTGGGAGCGGCCATTTTTGTCCAAATATAGTAGCTCCTCCCTCCTGCCAGCAGTGACGTCACGGTGCGGTTAGCCTAGCGCAACGTTATAGATTCTTAGATTAAAGAAGCATCCAGGTGGGCTCCTACAGTGCCATTTGGAACAGACAGGTATAGAACTTATTCTTGAACTTTTAACATTTGGAATGCTGCTATATATTTGGATATAAAAATACAGTTTTTCCCCTCAAACAAACAAAATTTATTTTTCATCTCTCTTTATTTACATAGTGTAATTATACTTTATTTAAACAGAGCTAAGAAGAAAAAAAGGCATGAGGATGCATGGGTGTAAATAAAAAACTGTTTGTCCAATCAGGTAGCTTCATAACTCTTGTTGCAGCGAATCACAGGCAGCAGAGGTAGCAGAGCTTCAGCACTTTCAAAGAGGCTCTCTGGCTTAAAGGGTTAAATAATATTGCAGCTTTCATACTTGACTTGTTGACTACACACACAGCAAATACGAGATTTTATTCTGTAGATGATGGTATGAAGTCTGAGTTTTGTTAATTTCATTGGTTTGAAACGTTAGAGATAGAAAATAGAAATAGAATGATCAAAATATTGTAAACGTTTCTGTAGTTATTTTACCTGTTAGACGATTGTCTTTGTATTGTAATGTATTTTCAGGCTTTGCAACACTTCTGCATTAGTAGAACAAACCAATCACACTGAGATCCAACTTGTTTAATATGAAGCAACCAAAGATATATTTTATTATAATTGCTATGGGAACATATGTTGAGTCATTTGAACTATGTGACATATATCCTTACCAAAACAATCCCATCTATGCTTATATTTGAACCTATGTGAAAAGTTGGTGGACCTGGACTATAGAAAGGCTGAATGTTTGTTTCTTATTGTTGCTTTAAAAATATCACAGTTTTATGTTACTTTAAAAAAGAGCTTAATTAAACATCATGATATAAAAAATTAAGTAATGGACATTGTTTAATATTCTGCCTTTTAGCAAAATGAATAGCTATTGCTATTTTTTAAGCTTTTTTTATGGACATATGCCATAGTCTTCTTTCTCATTTATGAATTCTGTTCTTGTGTTTCTTCATGTCGGTCCTGTTCATCATCCAATCCATCTGTGCCTCCTTGTTCAGCCGATAGCACCAGTTCTCTGCTTCATCCCTCAGTTTGATTTAGTTTGGTAGTTTGCCTCCTGTATCCACCCCGTTTCTGTCACCTTGCAACTAAGATGAGCTGTTGCAAGATTTTATAACTCATTAACTTCCAAAAGTACATCTAGGTAGGAGCCAACGGATCTGTTTGACCATTATAGAGAAATGTTTCAGACCAATATGTCAGCTGGTTCCTTCTGACCAGATTTGGTAAGAGTTTGATTTACAGTTACCTCTGCTAGTTGTGAAATGAATCAAGAATGTGATACGGACCGACCTGGAAGGCATCTGCTACTTGATTTACCCAATCAGCTAGAATAATTGTACTGAATGTCCCTCCCATTTGCAAACACTTTCAACTGGAGCCTTACCGAAACCGGATGAGGCAGACTCAGCAGTCCCTGTGTCCGAAGCCAGTTTAGGCAAACAGATCAGAACAGGCTGGCTCAGACGTCTAGGAGTCCGAAGACAGTTCTGACAAACCATTCAGATGGGAACAGGCAGGCTCAGTGGTTAAGAGGCAGAACAGGACAGGATCAGAAAAGTAGAAACACTAAGTAACTCTAAAAACACCAACCGCTATCTAGAGAGAACAAGAATAATCTGTGACTGATGACGTGATGCGTGCACCTTAAATAGAGGCAGGAGCAGGTGGATCAAATGAGAGGTAATGAGGAACCGGGCAGAGTTAGACAAGTGAATGGAATGAATAATTAAGCCAGTAATCAATGCCAAGATCCTGACAAAAAGATCACAACTATCATGGTCAGCAGCCCTTTGATAAAGGTACAAACATTTTTCCCTGAGCTTAATTAAATTATGAAATCTGCTGAAAAGAATAACGGTTTCTTAGAAACAAAAGTGTATAACATTATATTCTTAAAACTTGATGTACTATATATATAGAAAACGTTTATCTCAGCATCTCTGGATAGAAACTTAATGGAGCAACGCAGAAGTTCAACTGAAGAAACTGATTACTTACCCCCATCCGCCTCCCACACAGGCCAATCAGCTTGGAGCCACACCTCCACGAAGCCCAATCAGCATCTAGAGTTCATCTTAAAAGGTCTTCAAATCCACAACTCAGTCTGCTGCCCAGAGTGCAGGCAGTTGTTGCTCTAAGTCTGACTTCATTCAGATGACCCAGTTTCAACCCCCCTCCAGCCCCTCCTCCACCATCGTAGCTAAAGCTCCTCTCACTGCGTTCATCTCAACCGGTCCAGCAAAAGACCGCCATGCTGAGCCTGGTTCTGCCAGAGGTTTCTTCCCAATGAGGAGTTTTTCTTCTCCACTGTCGCTTCATGCTTGCTCATCATAGACAGGCTCTCTCAACCTGTGCTATCCAGCTGATCTTCCATCTTCTAGGTCCCTGAGTGAAGCTCTAGCATCAGTCTACAGACTGACCAACTCCATCTATCTCCACCATTTTCAGACCTGGGGGGAAACAGCCCTATTCTTTACTCCTGTTCATGCATATTATACAAAATTCAGTGCTATGTTTCCTCCCGAGGTCTGAGCGCCAAACACTAAAGTGCTAGGAAACTGCAGAGAAAATATCGCTCCACAGGCCTACAGCAATCCTACCTGGTCTGGAAAAATAGTTTACTGCTGGATAAGAGGACCCTTTGTAAAGCAAGAGCAGCATATTTCTCCTCATTAATAGAGGAGAATAAAAATAATCCTAGATTTCTTTTTAATCCAGTTGCCAAACTCACCCAGAGCCATAGCTCTGTTGAACCATCCATTCCACCTGCTCTTAGCAGCAATGATTTTATGGGATTCTTTATAAATAAGATTGATCTTATTAAAAATAAGATCATAAGCACTCCTCTATCCGCGATTGGTTTATCTCTGGAGTGGGCGGGGGGGGGGGGGGGTAGCATCTGAGGTAGTCATGGAATCTGAACCAGGTTTAAACTGCTTTGATCCAGTTGAACTTTCAGGGTTATCAAAACTCTGAAAAACTTTTTGAAGAGTTTCAGTCTGGCTTTAGAGCTCATCATAGCACTGAAACAGCTCTGGTGAAAGTCACTGATGATATTCTCATGGCCTCAGAGTCTTTGAAAAAGAAGCTGATTAGTCAGTCACTTCATTTGGATGGGATTAAACTGATTTCAGATAATAAAGTAAAAATTCTTGGTGTTGTTTTTGATCAGGACCTGTCATTTAAATCCCAGATCAAAGAGGTTTCTAGAATTTCCTTCTTTCATCTGAGGAACATTGCAAAAATGAGCAATCTCCTGTCCAGGGGTGATGCTGAGAAACTAGTCCATGCATTTGTTACTTCAAGGCTGGACTATTGTAATTCTTTACTATCAGGAAGTCCACAAACTGTAGTTAAAAGCCTTCAGCTGATCCAAAATGCTGCAGCCAGAGTTCTGATGAAAATGAAAAAGAGAGATCATATCTCTCCTATCCTGGCTTCTCTTCATTGGCTTCCTGTTAAATCAAGAATAGAATTTAAAATCCTCCTTCTCACATATAAAGCCTTAAATGGCCAAGCTCCATCTGATATCAGAGATCTGATTGTTCCTTATGTTCCTAACAGAGCACTTCGCTCTCAATCTGCAGGTTTACTAGTGGTTCCTAGAATTTCTAAAAGTAGAATGGGAAGCAGATCTTTTAGTTATCAGGCTCCTCTCCTGTGGAACCAACTACCAGTTTTAGTCCGTGAGGCAGACACCCTGTCTACTTTTAAGGCTAGGCTTAAAACTTTCCTTTCTGATAAAGCTTCTAGTTAGAGTGGCTCAGGTTATCCTGATCTATCTCTATAGTTCTGCTGCTATAGGCTTAGACTGCTGGAGGACATAGGGACCCCTTTTTCATCATTCTGCTTCATTCTGTCTCTATTCTCCCACTCTGCAGAATCTGTTAGTTCAATCTCTAACTGCTTTTTCTCATAGTAGCTTCATCTGGTCTGTTCCTGTTTGGCTGTGACTCCATCCTGGAGAGAAATATCAGCTGTGCTGCTGCCATCAACACCTTTGTTTCTAGATGTTGGAGCTTGGCCTGTTTTCCAGTGTAGTCCTGTTTCTCTGACTGTGACTAACTGGATGTGCTCTCTTCATCCTCTGACATGGGAGCTGGCTCGGAGCTCGTCTGCCTGGCTGTGTGTTTCCTGGACGGGGCCGCCTGTGGAGCTGGTTGACAGTTGCCTTTTGTATCTATGCTTCTTTTTCTATGTCTGCTTCTGTCTCCTTGAACCCCAGTGGGCCTCAGCAGATGGCCGCTCACACTGAGCCTGGTTCTGCTGGAGGTTTCTTCCTGTTCAAAGGGAGTTTTTCCTCTCCACTGTCGCTACAAGCATGCTTAGTGTGAGGGATTGCTGAAGAGTCAATGAGTCGATGCAATCAGCTGGTTTTCCTTAGATAGAAAACTTTGTATCAATTTGACTGGATGATCTGGTGAACTGGAAAGTGACCTGAGATGACATGATGTGAATTGGAGCTATAGAAATAAACTGAATAGAATAGAATGAAATCCATGGAAACTACTGACATTTTTAAAGGATCCTGATCATCGGTTTAAGACAGACAGGTTTAGGGCCGTCCTCTGGGCCACTGCCCCTGTCGGCCATTTCTAAGTCTGACTCATGTAGAGAGGATCACTGGAGGTGAAGCCTCTGGAGTCAAATGAGTCATTTGTGATTTAAAACCTGCTTTATTTGGCTCCAAATGGCAGCATCCGTCAGAATAAACACCCTCCGTCTCAAATGCAAACCGTTTCACTCAATGATTTTGCATGTTGGAATTTAAACTAAGGAGGTGAAATTCTGCTGTCAAACGTGAACAAGAAGCAGCGAAGATGGAGAAAGTTCTCCTCCTCCTCATCGGTGCATCAGGTAGGTGGATTTCATCCAATTTTTCATAAACATACCATCAGCCGGGATTTTTTCTCTACTGCTAAAGTAATTTATTTATATGACATTAAAATGTCTGTTTGAATTGTTCTGTCTGTGTTCCTGCAGCTCTATGCAGCGTCTGTTCTTTTACTGACCGTAAGTACATCTTCGTTTATGAGCCGAAGACCTGGACCGAAGCGCAGAGCTTCTGCAGATCACGGTACACCGACCTGGTCACTGTGGACAGCTTGGACATGGTGACGATGCTGAACGGCATGGTGGACACCAGCAAGATGGGATCTGTGACAGAAGTGAGCTCTCCTCTTTTCTTCCCTGTTTGCTTTCCTGTTTTCTGGGGCATGAGTCAAGATTTTTGCTAAAACAAGCGGAAGGATCCGTCTCATTGCTGTTTTCCATGATTACCACAGCACACAGCAGATTTCTTTCTAATTCGTTGATTTTTCATAAATTACTATTTTCCACGTAAAATGATAAGTTGACCTCACTTCCACTCCTCTCTCTGCGATCAGACACCCCCCCCATCCCCTCCATCCGTCCCTGAAGCACGATCCGTCCTGCTCATGCGCAAACAGATATACATCCGGCTTTCCATAAATAATCTAATTATGCTACTAAAATCACTTATTTCTATCCTGTACTCACTAAAGAATGCTAATACACATCTTAAAAAAATGTTTTATGACAATTTGCTGCTTTTTTTAATTTTCTCTGTTAAAAAGTTACTCTGATGTCATCATGGGACACGCTCAGCAGTAAATCTGAATAAACCATGTTTATCTGCATTTTTGTTGTTTCTTTCTTTAGATTACCCACTATATGGCATAATGTTAACATGAAAAGAAAACATTAAACTCAAAAAGACAATATTTATGTGTAAATCCAAAGCTGATAACGTTAGCTCCTGGAAGTAGCATAGGGCATAGCATAGAGAAACAAGAGATAATTTAATGGATTTCTTTTCTCAGGAAATACATTATTAACCTTGGAGACATTATATTTTTACTATTTTGGGGGAGGGAAAAAGAGGTTTTTTAACAGAATTAAATGGAGGGCGACCCGGTGAGCTGATGGTGCATGAGCAGGACGGATCGTGCTTCCGGGACGGATCGAGTAGTGACAGTCCCTCTGGAAAAAAAACATAAAAATACATTTGTAATATTCACCTTTAACATTTTGATAAAAGAACTGTACCTTTACTCGTCTTTAACAGCTGTTTCTGATCAGCTCCACTTCTGTGTTTCTAAGTGATTTATGTGTATTTACAGTCAAAGTAATGCTAGCCTGACGTAGTCCGACTCAATTCTAGTCAGAATGAGTCTGATGCTGCTCCATAGAGCTGTGATTATGGGGCGTGTTTTGAACGAACCAGGAAAAAAAATGCCTCTGCACTCAATTGGATAGACCTACAACCAATAAGAGCAACGGAGTGCGTGACGTATGTTAAGCGACGCATAGTTGTTGTCAACAAAAATCAAAGCGTGCAGTTGCACGCCTAGAATAAGAAGATGAGCCTTGATCGCGTTTCTCTGTTCCTCTTTTAAAATTAATTTGCTGTCGATATCTTCTAGAACAGACCTAATAGCAGAATCTACTCACCTCAACTCTCCAGCGGCAGCCATTGTTGTTGTCACCCAAGCGCGCTTTGGTCACGTGGTTGATTACGTTACTGTTGATCATCTGTCCATCAGCGTATAAAGCCCGCCCTGACAATTTGATTGGCCCGCCAGATATTGTGCTAGCATACTCGCGCTACTGTTGAGCAATGCCAGACCGAACTTCCCGACCTCAAACCTTGTGGGCGGGACTAAGTTCGGAATGGCACCCAGGCTAAAGTAATGCAGGAATAATGTTGGAGTTCAGAAGAGGGTTCATTTCTTTCACCATCTTGGATAAAGTTTGATCTTCTTTTCCATTCTAGTCTAATGTTGTATAGATTATTTAAATCATCCTGTTTGATTTTCCTTTTTCAATCTAATTGCTTGATGTTCCACACCACCAGGACAACAGTTAGCCTCTGAGCTACTGATTAATAATGCTAATTAATTCACCCTGTATTATCCATATAATGCGAGGATGTGAAGTTTTATATCCTTTAAACTTACATTCAACTTATTAAAGCTT